AACGGGGACGAATAAATCGGAAGTAAAGGATTAATACTACTATTTCCACGGTAAAGTAAAACACGCTTCGAACTGACAGCTGCGCGGATAAAAATTCTACTTGAGAGAGCCGTTAATGAAGTAACAATAACGGTAACTTTGGTAAAGCAAAAAGATAACGACAATCGTGCGGAAATAAAGGTGAGGTGTCTTATTCGGTGTCGATATTGCGAATTGCAATGCCAATGGAGAAAAATGGGACGAGGGAGAGAACGCGCGCGCGCGCGCAGGTGGATGACCGCTTTTGGACCACCGTGTAGTAGCCGAGTCGCGCAGGCGGGGGTCTTATAATATCGCGTCATACGAAACGATGAAATAGTGGCCGTAGCGAAGGAATGTTCCCTACCACTCGAGTCGTCGAGTTGAGTTGACTGGCGCGTTGCGTGGTTCGCCCGGCTCGACCGACCGCTTTCAACCGGTGTGTCTGTTCTTCGTTTCCTCGCCAGTGTTTCTCTGCGCGCGTACAGGGTGTTTGGCAATTGCCGGATACAACCGGGAAAGGGTACGAGTCCCCCGAGTCACGAACCTCGGCTTCTCGATCTTCTCTCGATCTCTCCCCTCCCCTCCTCCCCCCTCCCGAGAGCAATCCTCTTGCGTTTCCTTTTCGTTCTTTCTTCCTTTCATTTTCATTTTCTTTTTTTTCTTTTTTCCCCCTACGAAGCCGACTGCACTTGCGAATTGTTTCCGATCGCAGTTTAACGCAAATCGACCGTGACGGGGAATCAAACGTCTTTGAAAGGATTGTTACAAGAACGATTGAACCTCAAACCTCTCGAGGAAGCGCGTCGGTCGTTGAGAATTATACTCGGTTCCTTAACCGTCCGAGAAACGCTCTCGGACCTACTTGTTATTTTATGCTTATTGACAGTTTATATTTGCGTATTCGCCCACTCGACGCGGGGAGACGACCCGTAGAATTCATATACTGACGCGTATTATGACTACTTTTACGAGCGGTATCAATGAGCGAACATCGCGACGAGCATTACGATACTCTGGCGGCGATACCGCCATTAAAGATAATACATGTGTAGAGCATTAGGTTGAAATGGCAATATCCAGGCGAGAACTGTTAATAATCTTCCTCTCGGCTATCTAATGTCACGTTGATTTATATATGGAACGCGACTAACTGTATTCAGTTACATGAAGATTATGGGTATCTTCGATGAAAAGTGTATTAAACGAAACAAATGCTTCGAAGTGGTGATTTACAAAGAAATTCTCGTTCTTTTAAAAAAGATTTCTTTTCCTTATAAACATTTAAATTTCTTCTTGCATAATTTTCAAGATGCCTTAGCACGCCATAGAGAGTTACATAGAAAATCGTTTGGAGATCTTTTATGCGTTTCCAGGTATTCATCAAAAGCAGTAAACTCACAATCTTTCGCTAGATCTCGCAAAGTTAATAATAGCCCGCGTGGCATTAAATACATTAACAGGGGGGGAGGGGGGGGGAGGGGACGCTTCTTTCGCAATTTTACGCCGCTTGAGTGCCGCGATCGCAACGGTTACCGAGTCATCCGAGTAAATCGCGGTAAAAGACGAGGGAGAGAGAAGGGGGATATATTTACAGCGGGAGAGACAGGAAATCGCCCATCGTGATTATCATTTCTACGATTTATCCTCCTCTCGCGGATAAAGCTCCGAAAAGCATTCACGCGCGCGTTTACACGCGTCCTCCGGTCGTTGTGAGGGAGAAACACGCCGAGGCGAGGCTGGAAACAGCCGAGCCGTCTCGAGAGAGATTCAAAAGGTGCTCGAGGGGGCCAGACGTGGGCTACCCGTGATCATCATGACAAAAGCTCGGGGCAAACATCCGTTCAATTTATTAGCTTATAGGCAACGCCGTCTTCGTACTACCTACTATACACCACCTACGACACCGGCCACGGACCGCCTATAATACCCGCAACATTATGGGCATGCTCCCAAGCTAGCGCGGACCCCCCTTTTTCTCCCTTCTTGTCGCCCGGTGGCCCGTTGCACCCTCCCGAGGCGAACGATGTCGGTCTCCCCATAGAGTTCCGGTTTTTACGGTTTCGAGAAACTCGTGATATTTTCTGGACCCCGGGGGTAGAAGACTACGGTGCGCTCCTTCGAGGACTCTAACCCCCCTAACACGGTATTTAGTGGTAAGTGAGTTTGTGATAAACAGAGTGAGATGTATATAAAGAAGAGAAAAACTTGATTTTCTTTCTAGTAAAATAATTTTTTTTATTGAGATATTAATAAAAAATCGAATTGCGAACAATTAAAAATAAGATGGCGATTGTTATCATTATTTGCACGATTGTCAAAGTTATTATTGTATATTTTGGGATTGATAAAAATTTACAATAAATTATACAAAAATTTTCATTTAACGTGGCAGGTCTCATGGATAAGAAATTGAGTATGTAACATTATATCTTATGAAAATATTTCAGCAGCAGTTAACGATTATCCGTAACGAACATTGTGAGCATCATTGTTTTTAAGGAACTCGATATGTCTTGGATTTAGCAATCTCCGGATCGTTTCTCGCCCATGTCCTGCCGTACAGGACACGCGTGTTTCCAATTAAGGAATAAAAGAGATATTTCAGGCTGAGGATTAACTTTTATCGAACGTTTACAACGGGACGGGAGAGATAGCGGAATATTAAGTTTCGCGCGGTTTATCGCCAATCTCGCGGTAAAGGCGGGAATCGCGCCGTAAATTCGCGCATTTATTCTACGCAGTTTCGAGTTCCCACGTTAATAAGCAGGAAAACACGTCGACGAAGAATTGACGTACGTATCAGCGCGTATCATTCATCCGGGAATTAAATCACAAAACGTATTCTCTCCCAAATTTTCGCTAAAAGCGATTATTTCATTACATGCGATCGTCTCTAATAACACAAGTGTTCATTGAAGTCTATATATTATATAAATGAAACATGTTGGAAAAAATTTGATAATATTTTCTGCTACTGAAATAATTCACAGTATAACGCGAGTTCTAATTCAGCTGACAAGAATTAATTTTTCATGTTGGAATTCTACTAATAATAACGTGATGCCATAATATATTATTAGTTAAGACGTCTATAATTCGTTAATTATATTTTTACAAATTATATAAATTATATCTGACCCATTTCCTTTTATGTAAATATACTTATACTTCTTAGATATGAAAGAATCTGCAATGCCTTCTCTTTCTCTCTTTCTTTTTCTCTATGTGCTCAAAATATTTATAGATCAATATAATATTTAGTTTAAAACTGTTCGTTGTCTAAGACCATTCAATTAACATCATTTCCCGTTGTAATTTCTGAGTTCTGCCGCCGAGCGCCGTTACTCCGCCTCTTTCCCATCAAGTTCAACTTTTCATTATCGCACGCTTATGATACCTCTTTATCGGGAAAGGAGATGGCGTTTTATTACCGTGCCGGCTCGCGCGGTCTCAAATTTTCTTCTCGATATCAGCTTATCGGCGCGGTGACTTTGCGCGTAAATGCTCGAAATTACAGTCGTGCGACGTCGACCTCGCGACGGAATTATCGTTCGCTTAATACTCACACATGTAGGTAAAACGATTTGCCCGTCTTGCCTCTCCAGTGATTACGAGTAGAAAAATTCTCTAAACTTTTCTACTCGAATCACCACTTTCCGGTTATGACATATTTAAAAAGTATTAAATAAAGTTCTCGCGGATGGAAGATTGGTTCGTCATCGGCCAGCCGACGGCGACGATGGCGACGACGACGACAACGGCGAGAATGGAATATTACATTCTGTAGGCAATATCAACGCCCACGATTAACGTCCCGCGTCGATGATAATCCATACAGGCCCACGCTCCCACCCTGATGGGGGTGATGTCCCGGCGCATTCGTTTTACGAGGCCATTTTCGGCGCGCGCGGCCACTCGAGGACTCGTCGACGCGATCACGCGAGCGAAAAACGAGAAGAAGGAATTGATATGAGGGCGTGAAAAACGACATTGCGAACATCTCCGATGCTCGCTTGGCGCTAGCCGTACGTTAAACCGATCCGAAGTTCGCTTGTTCGGCCATCGAGTTTACAGTTCTTCGCGTTCATTTTCGCGACCATTCAAACGAGCTTCTCACTTTAACAACATTCTAATTTAGAGCGTCCTAGATGTAAAATTGAATATTTTAAAGAATCGCAAAAAAGAAAGGCAATCAAAAATTTCTCCAAGTCCCTCTAAGCTGGAGAAGCCCCCCCTTTTCATTTCACGTACGTAAAGTCAGAAATTTATTTAAAATCCGTACATAATCGTCAGCGGTATTATATTCGCGGATTATATATCCTCGAGGAGCGATTCAAATGCGGAGGGAAGAAGGTTCCCCACGTAATAGCGGTAGCATGTCCAACGATTCCGACATTTTGCGTCCGGCGGCCATTGTGCGCTAAACTCCGAAATAAAGGGGAGATACGCCGCGGCCCAGGAATTACGCATCCGCTGAAAGGCAGGCGCAAATTACAGAACGGCGTAATGGCCGGGATGCATGAAGCGCCTTATCGCCGACAATTTCTCCGGCGCGGGCCGCCGGAGGAGGAAGAGGAGGAGGAAAATCCTGACCGCGCGAAATTATCCCACAGGACGAAGATTACGCGGAGATCGATCTTGCACGCTTCGTTGGCGACGCGTGAATGTTTAAACCGTTTAAATGTCAAATTGACTCCCTTCCCCCCCCCGATATCGGATTACATCGCGTGATAGATCTTTAAAAAAAATCGCCCATTAAGATACACCTCATTAAAAAATAGCAGTAAAAAATTCATTGTGACTTTAGATATAAAAAAAATCCTATGTTGATGATTGAAATGAATATAAAAATCTGAGTACTTTTTCACAATTAAAAAATATGTTTTTTGAAAAATATTATCGCTTGAATATATTGAACTGCACTCCGTAATCAAGTACGGTGGTTGATTACGAGTGATAGATTTAGATAATCCTCTCACCTGCCCGTGCTTGTCCATGTCGTTGTTCGTTAGCTTCACCTTCTCGAAAGAGACGACCTGTTTCTTTAGTTGCTCACCGGTAAAGGGTGAATCTGGGTGTGTGTAAAGTCGTGCTGGCGCTGGCGGATCCGCTTTGCCGGCTTCCAACCAACAACTACGATGATAAGCGTATCGATATCTCTTGTTGTCGACCGGCACAATGTCCATCAATACTGCATAACGGCCTTCCGACTTGAGCCCAGTGAAGGATACCCGGCACGTCGGAAACATCCGTCTGCGAAAGAAAGCATATATAATAGGAGCAATATAATAATAAGCGAATAACAATTACAGCGATAAATCAGGATAATTATCTGAACAATTAAAAACTTGATAATTTGATGATTTATATTTTATAAATAGAAATGAGAATATCATATCTTTAATTAGATTTAATTGCAGTTCAAATGCGCAGAACAATCTTGTATCGTTAAAGACAATCTAAATATAATCATAATTATGTAATTATATATTTGCGGAACGTGATTGCGTGAATTCCATACTTCAAAGTGACAAACAAAGGCGAGTCTCGATTTTTATCGTGACGGATTGATATCTGGCGCATATAACCTAGTAGTCGCAAAATGACGTAGCAAAATCAAGGTAAAACCTTTGTACTTCGTGACCGCTTTCACGATCGTTGCAGTCTCGCAACGGTAGAAGTTATTAATTATAGAACAGTGCCTGCAACAAGTTTTCCTCGGCCTATAAACATTTTAACGTAAGCGTACAGTATAACTTTCCGCACTTAACTGATTTTTAAATTTTATGATTTGTATATATTTTTTTCTGAAGTAGTGCAACCCATGAAAGTTTCGTCAATAAACCACCAATCTTTTTGTCATACTCGTCACCATTATTATATCTCTTCATATTTCTACGCTACAATTCATTCCCGCTACGGTTCATTCAATCACGCTGAATTTTCTGTTGACCGCAGACAGTTTGATCAAAGGAAATGTCGGTTTCGATCTTTCGAGGTTTTGCCACAAAAGCCGAATTTCAGCCTTGAATCGACGCGCACAGTTGACTTTTCGACACTTTGGGACGCACGCGCCCGCGACGATGCAAAGACATGCTGAATTTCCCGCTGGTGTAGGAGGGAAAACTAAAGCCTGACCTTCGTCCCCCCGAGTTCCCGACAGAGGAGCCTTCACCCGGCCCACAATGTATGTCCTCGTCGCGACCCCCGCACGCAAACTGAACTCACGCCTGTGATTTACGCGCCGAGCATTTTCTGCGATCTGATGATGGCAGATATGTCAATAGTGATTTTTTCACAATGACAAACTGGGTTCCAGTTAGTTTATCGTTGAAAATGCTTGTGCAGCCGAGACCTAAGGGACAGAGAAACACGCTTCTCTAAAACGCAATCCAGTGCCATTTTTCACTCTGTAATATTTATTACGTAATTGCAAACTGTGTGTGTGAAACGTGATACGATGAATACTCGGTGTACGTAAGAGCCCAGACAATGAAAGAAATAAGGAATTAAATTAAACACGGAGAATTACAAATTGAGAATTAAATTTCAACATAAAGGAATTACTTTATTGTAGACTGTGCCATGGTTTCCCATATGTAGAAATTTAATTCTCTATTCCTAATTACTTATGTTTAATTGCTTATTCCTGTCATTGTTTATTCCTGTCATTCTTTACTTCTGTCATTGTACTCGAGTTTTAAGATTCTTTGTTTAACTTTTATTTGAAAGAGTATCTTATTGCATACGTGTAATTCTAAATAGTATTGCACAGTCTGTGGATATTATAGTTTTCGATATAACTGTTCCGCGCCAGACGCAAGCTTAATCGAGCCAACGGAGAAGATTGAGAATGATGGATCCACCTCGACATCCCTGTCGAGGTCGGCCATTGGTATGTCCAGGACCGTGCAATCCACTAAAGGCTCATCATCACCATCATCACCACCGTCATCATCATCATCATCATCGTCAGAAACCGGGGATGACTGGCGTCGCCGAGACGTCGTCGAGAAAAGATGAATCCTTGCCGAACGAATTTTCTCCAATAACGCTTTTAAGATTAAAGAAAGATATTTCTGCCACTTCCGTGACGTCGACGGACGATACATCAATCTCCAAAATCTCGTCATCCTTCTCCGGGCTCGCTTTGATCAAAATTCCAAGAATTCCTCAAACAAAACAAACCGACGTCCCCGCAGTCGTACGACAAACCCTGTCGCAGGGAAGATCGGAGGTCGGAGAACCATCGAGACCGAAAAACGAGAAGATCAAGAGAGAATCGCCATTTGTGGGAAAAATCGAATCGTCGACTCCGGTAAAAATAATATCCCGTCCGGAGGAACCAGCTGCGCAGACACCGACATATCCGGCACCGAGAACTCTGAACAACATGAAATGCGCGATTATGGAGAGGCTGAACAGATTAACGCTATCGCGTGTTTTCCTGTGTCTGACGATCTTGTTGATCTACGCGGGAATACACATATTATTGGCCGTAATCACATGGCGAACACCTGCGTACAAGTTTTTCGTATCCAGCCAGATCTGCGGAGTCCTCGCCTTTCTTATATGGCGACTGACCGGCACGATATTAATCTGAGCCGCACGAATAGATAATACACGAAGATAATGCGGTGCCGGACAAATATCGAAATTGATCGACATATACCGTCTTATGCCAATTTATCACAATTACATACACGTGGAACAGCTACGGAGGATAACTTTCGTTAAAGTGAGAATTAATTAATCGATGATCGGCGTTAAATTGATGAGTTCTGCGACCTAGGAAGCGTGAAATATGAGTATCGGAGATCCCAGCAAGATTATATTTGAGCATCAAGACACCAAAAGCCTGGGGATCGAGTCGGCAATATGTCTTGATTATACTAAAGAATACCGTGATTAATGGAGTCTTGCTACTGGAACAACTTCCATTTTTCCTTGTTCGCTCCTTATTTCTGTAATTGTAAAGATATTCGGTTGGAATGTACAAATATATATTTCTCGAGAATATACATGTGTGCGTTTTCAAAAACTAAACATCTCTCACTATTGTTGTCAATATACACAATAAGTCCCCATTAAGATGTTTTGCGTTCTATTTATCGACAATTTTCAAGAAAACATTCTTCTCGAACTGAAAGAACTAAAAAGGCACACGCTTTTGTTCACGCCTTGTCCCGATCGCCTCTATCACTCGTGGTTGCTCCTCCGACAGGACCGCAAGGATAATTGTCGCGGTTTTCTAGATCTATTTATCCGATGACAGGCGTCCTTCTTCTTTTCTTACCCGAAGCCGCAAGATTCGTTCACGATGGACCTGGACGAAACGAGATTGGGATCCTTAAGCGGGCGCAGATAAGAAGGAGCCCGGTTGTGTGTCACGCGAGTGCCCTGCCGCGGTCTATTCGTGGGGCACCAATACCCCCGGAGGACGGCCCCCCGCGACGCGAACCTCGCCTCTCGTCTCTCGAGAAGTGGTTTTGCGGTTTGGAGCTCCTCGAAAACGATCCTCCCTTCTCCGCGGCACGTACGGCATTCGGTTAGGTTCGTGCGGTTTTTAACAAGCGCATTGTCCAACCGCGTTGAATAGTATCGTCGTTACGTCGCCCGGGGCCCCGACACACCTTAACGACACGATTGTCGGCCCTTTAGGCGAGGAATTAACCGCGCGGTGCATTCGAAATGCGCAGGCACATCTCTGATGCGCGAGAGGCAAGCTCTCTATTCGCAGAGCCGATGAAAGACGGAGTCTGCGAAAAATCACGTTGTATTTCTCTCACGTTTGTAATTCAATTCCATTTTTCGCATTATATGCAAGATTTAGATTTGCGTCCCAATTTCACGATAACGACGTGACACTCGATACATAAAACTCTAAATCTATCTGCGATCGACCGACGACATCGTCGAGAAGTTTAACTGCAAAGTATGGAGGTATGGTTAGAAACTGCGTAGTTATAAATGGCAAAACATCAGTCTTAGAAATAACAAATAGATAAAAAATTTTTTCGTAATTTAATATGGCATTAAGCACGTAATAGTAATCTAGCCAGCAATTTCAGGAGTAAATCGAATTTCCTTCTTCAAACTTGGAAGATTATTGTGACTTTTTTCTCAATACAATGTGGGCTCTTCGTTTATTCTTGCACACTATACTTGTTATTCGCGTACCAGAACAGGTGTCGAGTATTCAAGACTTCATGTCTCGGGTCTTGATATAATTTTGCGCATCGCGAAATGGACAGCAATCATCTGTGTGTCCTCACACGCTCCTAATGTGAGTATTAAAAAAAAAACATTATCAAAAAACATCGCGGTTGCGCGGTACTATCGTAATTACTCCGAGTTGACACTCTATAAAATCATCAGAGTCGTTTACACCTCCTTCAGCCCTCCTGCCTTCACCCCGAGGCAGCTGCAGCTAACTCGCTTATCGCCGGCCTTGACGTGGACGACGTTTTCTCCGAAGAGCTCGGTGCTCGACTTTCACCTGCTGCGCGCGCGCGAGTTCGCGTGTTATGCTAAGAATAAATTTCGCAATCGTGCAAGAGTGCCATTTTCGCCGGTATCTCTGTTAAAAATACGCGCTGTACACGATCGTCGCGTTTCCGTGAACTTCAGGCGTGCGACGCCGATAAATCATCCGGAAAATTGCCATTAGGGTGGCGGAGGGATGACCAACCTGCCGGATAAGCGCGCCAGCTATTTAAGCATCGACGGCAAACCGATCGACGCCTCTCCCTCGAGATTTGCCACCCTTGTGATCCCTATCGCGCATTACGCTTGTACCCCATTGAATCCCGTGCTCAGTGACTCATGTTTTTACGAGGATCTCGCGCGGCAAACGAGTCAATTCATGCGGCGCGTGTCGCTATCGAAATTGCCGCGACCATGTCGAAGTATCATCCCCCCCCTCCCCGGTTTACATTTCTAAAATAACGATAAATCCATAAAATGTTTAAAAAGAAAATAATTTTTGCTCAAAGAATAATGCTCGAAAGGAATCACGAATAAATGTGAAATACCAAAAATTAAAGATCTCGTGATATATAAAACTTGTTTGTAATACTTATACGAGATGGAAATTTTATATATTTTCAATTCATTCGCCTCGAAATTAATTCGCTTCAACTTCCGTTAACTTTATAATATATTAAATACAGCTCTCTAATTAACTCGCGACGTCCAGCTTGATAAATGTGCGTTAATTTCTCTACATTAACTTTTTCGACAATCAGTTACAT